AATGTAGGTAGCAACATCAGAGTTTTGATTTCTTGAGTCTGTTGTTGCCAAATTTCCTGCTTGTCGTATTATTCCTTTCCTAATCATATAATACAGAAAACAGAATAACAGAGTTGGAATGGACTTTGGAGGTCTTCTAGTTCAACCCACTGCTTAGGCAGAAAATGCCACACCACTTCAGACAGATGATTATCCAATCTCTTCTTAAAAACTTTCAGTGTTGGAACATTCACAACTTCTGGAAGCAAATGTTACCCAAATGTTATTAACACGGAAAATATTGTTAGGTACAAAGATATATTGAATGAAAAGGGGGAACTCAAAAGTAAATAAGAATTGCTCCATCAAGGGATTGATATGACATGGTACTCACAAGTGCAGATACATTCTAGATATGAGAAAGATGTTAAATTATATGGTTTTTATAAAAAATTAACAGAATTAGACAACAGGCATAGAAGAAAAATTGATAAAGTGTACAGCTACTGTACTTATTAGGCATTAAATTGGAAAATGAACAAGTGAAGGAGACAATGATAGTATGGGCAAAAAACTTTGATTATACAATAGAGTTAGATAAATAGCAGAAACTGTGGGATAGGAAATACAAATTAACAATGTCAACTGCATATAAAGAACATTTGTATAAGATATTTTATAGATGGCATTTTGCACCAGCAAGGTTGGCAAAGATGTTTCAAGATAAGTCGGCTAAATGCTGGAAGTGCCACCAGACACCTGGGTCATATTATCATATGTGGTGGACATGTTTAAAAGCAAAAAAATATTGGACAAAATTACATACGTGGCTGAAAAAAAATGATAAAGTAGCATATTGAGTTAAAGCAGAAATATTCTTGTTGGGGATTTTACCCAAAACATATAGTAACGGGAATGCATATATAATTATTCATATATTAACTGCAGCTAGAATTTTATTTGCACAAAATTGGAAAAGTGAAGAGATCCCCACAGATGAGAATGTGATCAGGAAAATATTAGAACGTGCAGAAATGAATAGATTAATGCTTGCAATTAAGGAGAAAGAACAAACAATAATGAATATTGTTATCATTGATTATCATTTTAGAAAGATATTTGTACCCGTATGACACACTGTTTAATTGAAGATGGAATTATTATATTTTATTTTATTTTTAAAAAAGAACTCTCTTACACATAGAAGATTAGATAAAGTTGTGCTTAATATAGCATTTCTTACCGACAGCTTAAATTTGTTTGCATAGAATATTCTTGTCCTGTTTTCTATTTCGTAAAAGAGCATTCGTATTTGTGATTTCTGCACATCTACATTTTTTTAATTAAAGAGTTTTTCAGAAAGAAAAAAAAAACAAATATTTCCCCATCCTCCCCTCCCTTCCTTACCACCCCCCACCCGCCCCGAACTTCCCAGAACAAAATACAGGGTATAACAATTAACAATCATATGCTAAACTAAGCTAATAAACTAAGGATTCCTATCCCCCCTTCACACTTTAACTCCCCTTTTACTTAACTAAATATAAATACTCTTAATTTTTCTATTCATTCATAAGCTATTTGATACTTTTTAATCCGATATTTGTTTTGAATATAATCAATCCATCTTCTCCATTCCGATATATATCTTTCTTGTGAGTGATCTTTCAAATATGCTGAAATCTTCGCCATTTCTGCCAGATTCGCTACTTTTAATGTCTATTCTTCAATAGTAGGCAAATCTTCCTTCTTCCAATATTGCGCCACCAAAAGTCTAGCTGCAGTTATTAAATTTAAAATCAATTTAGTCTCTATAACTGTACAATCTGTAATTATACCCAGCAAAAACAATTGTGGAGTAAAATTTATCTTCTTTTTAAGAATATTTTGGATAATCCACCATATTTTAATTCAAAATGCTTTAACTTTTTTACAAGTCCACCATATATGATAATAAGTGGCATCATCACAATCACATCTCCAACACTTAGATTGTAAATTTGGATACATACAAGCCAACTTTTTAGGATCTAAATGCCATCTATAGAACATTTTATAAAAGTTTTCTCTTAAATTTTGTGCTTGTGTAAATTTTACATTTCTAACCCATATTTTCCCCAAGTTTCCATCATTATTGGTTCCTGAATATTTTGTGCCCATTTTATCATACAATCCTTAACTAATTCTGCACATCTACATTTTATAAGGCAAAATGCCTTATAAGGCACAGCTAAGGCAAAATGCTCTTTTTTTGCAATGATCCCAAAATACCCTTGTTGTGTCTAATAGATCTCAGGGTATTACCAATACATAAATAGATATATGCTGTAGGTCGGGGTGGGTTCTAAATTTTTTTATTACTGGTTCTGTGGGCGTGGCTTATTTTGTGGGCATGGCTTAGTGGGGGGTAATGTGACTGGGTGGGCGTGGCCAACTTTTTAAATTTACTTTTAAAAGCATTTTTTCTACAACCTTAAGAGGTTGCAGAAAAAAATGCTTTGAAAAGCCTCTGCTGATCAGGCAACTCAGCTGGGATCGTCAGAGGCTTTTCAAAGCATTTTTTTTACCACCTCTTTGGCCAAAGAGGTTGCAGAAAACAACGCTTTGAAAAGCCTCTGCCGATCAGGCAACTCAGCTGAGATCGTCAGAGGCTTTTCAAAGCATTTTTTTAACCACCTCTTCGGCTGAAGAGGTTGTAGAAAAAATGCTTTGAAAAGCCTCTGACGTTCCCAGCTGAGCCACAGGATCATCAGAGGCTTTTAAAAAAACTTTTAAAAGCATTTTTTCGGCCAAAGAGTTTGTAGAAAAAATGCTTTTAAAAGTTAAAAAAAAAAGCCTCTGATGAGGTGGGTGGGGTAAGCGAGTGGCGACCGGGCCGGGGACCGGTTCGAGGGCGTGGCCAGCCAATGTTATTACTGGTTCTCGGAACCATTACAAATTTTTACTACCGGTTCTTGCAAGCTGGTGCGAACCGGGAGCAACCCACCACTACTGTAGGTGTGGACTACTGACCAGAAGAAGATATCTCTGGGTTGATATGTCATGCATATCTGAAATCTATAGAGAAAGAATGCTGAAATAATTTCCAAACCATTGAAAAAGTGACAACTCTATGAAGCGAAAGGGGTCTCTAACATTCACATTCAGGCACACGTGCCCACTCAAGATATTTATACTTTTATCGCATTTTAACTCCAACCAACACAGATGGTTCAAGCAGCTTGAAAGAGTGTAACAGCATAAAAAACTATGAGTCAGGCTCCTAAGCTACTGTTGCTGAAGTCACCAGTCCTTTTGCATATTTATGAAAATAAATCTGTTTCTGAAACTGTCGGACAAATAAAAATTACACTGGAAACCGACTAAACCAGTGAGGAACATATGCTTGGATTTTCTAGCCAAGACTTCATAATCAAGTTTAACAAAACAAACTTCAACACAAAATTTTGTGCCTTGGGGGAAAGGGGAATGTGACAAGAAGTGTTGTCAGCCTAAAATCTGCTGTTTTAAACAGCCCTTCCCAGGATATATTTCATCTGTTCTTAATAGAAGTTGCTTTGCCATCCAATGTATTTTCTATTAGATTTGTAGAATAATATACTAAGGATTATGCAATGTTCTTAGCATATACAGATTTAACTGAATATCTTGTGTTGGCTGTTTTTAAACAGGATTAAAATTTGTTAGTATCTATAGTACATCATTATGAAACTATAGTACATAATTATGAATCAGGCGTCAAACATGACAGGAAACATAGTAAGATTTTAGAAATCTATAATATCTATAGATATCTATAATATCTATGATGGATATTATCCTGGGCTTCATTGAAAGTAAGCTGATCAGTTATACAATGATCAGATTTGGAAGCAAGCAGAAAACAGCACTCAGAATTTAACTGTGTACTGACTTTGTATCCATTTTATATTCTCATTTTTCCCTTTAGTGCACCAATAAGTATCCAAATGATATTTTCAGAGGGTTGTTTTATTCTAAACAAATGTGAGTGTGCTTCCCAAGTATCTGGACCAGTCAATGCTGTAGCTTAGTCTTTTTAAAACTGCATCTGTTATATCATCCTTGCAAAACTGTATGTTCAGAACAAACTGTGAGCAGATGCTCAGTATCTCCTGCTGATAATCCAGATCAACATAATTTCTATAAGTGAAGAAAGTCAGAAAACAAATAGTTAATTAACACCATTTACCAACTACTCCAGGACTGCTACAACATACTGTAAATACATAACTCATCATCTTGTTATAAGGGTTTCCCTTTGTTCTCATGGGGATCTCACTTGAATTATGTTTTTCTTAGTATTCAGTGATCTTCTTCCATTTTTATTGAATGAATGAATGATTAAATAAATATCAAACTTAATTAGAAAGTCATATTTTTTTCAGCAATACTTACATATTTAACACATTTTGCCTTTTTGGCTTAAGCAACATTAGACGTAGTGTTCCAGAAACAGCATATTTCATACAGAAATATGTATGACTGCATGATTTAAGTGGATAAAAGACACAGAATCATGAAGTACTGGAGACCTGGAAAGACATGTCCTAGAATAACCTTCAGTTATGTGATGTATAGTATTTAACATTTCTGTCAGAAAATTAACCATGGTATATATTCTCTTCCATTTTTTCCTCTCACATAAATAAACTTGGGATATATGTTGGTAGAAAGAAGACACGTTAAATGGTCTAACATTATCACATGAGTTTCCCTGGGTTTTCTATGTCCAGACTTGAAAGCAAGAGACCATGAGTTCAAGTTCTGCCTTAGCAGTGGTGGGTTGCCCCCGGTTTGCACCGCTTCTATAGAACCGGTAGTAAAACCGGCGGGAGGCCCCCCCACCGACCCCGACGTCACCAAAACGCTTCTGTGCATGCACAGAAGAGCGCGCGTGCATGCGAGTCAAGCAAGCATGCACGCGCGGCCCCGCTGCGAACCGGTAGTAAAGGTAAGTAGAACCCACCCCTGTGTCTTAGCCATGAAAACCAGCGGGGTGGCTTTTGGTCAGTCACCCTTTTTCAGCTCAATTCACCTTATAGGATTATTGCTGTGGGAAAAATATGAGATAGAAAGTGTGTTGGCTATGCTCGCCGTTTTGAATTATTTGTTATTTGTAAAAAATAATAACACAGGAAACAAACAAACATACAAACCCAGCAGTTGGCTCTGCAGATTTTATTAGGGATTTCTATTTGGATATCTTTATAGAAAACCAAGCTGAATTCCTGTGACTTCATTTTATTAAAAAAAACCCTTTTCTTATTTGGCATCTTATTTGCTATCTTGAGCTGTGGTGGCGCAGTGATTAGAATGCAGTATTGTAGGCTAATTCAGCTCGCTGCCAGGAGTTTGATCCTCAAGGTTGACTCATCCTTCCGAGATCAGTAAAATGAGGGCCCAAATTGTTTGGTTTTTTTAAATAATTTTTTTATTTATATCAAACATAGAAAAAAACAAAAGAAAACATAAAATCTCCATCATTCAAATACAATCACAAACAGTATGTCAATCGGTTAAAAATTTTTTGTGCTCAGTCTCTTATCCCAATTTTCAAATTAATTAGTTTCTCTCGTTTAACAGTTTTGTATTCACTTAACCACTATTGAACAGAAAGGTGAATAAAAACAAAAGGAAAATCACTTCATATATTGTTATCTTTACATATTCATATTTCATTTTTTATCTCCATGTTTTGTTATCTAACCATTGACAAAACAAATCCCAAATTAAGTAATATTGTTTATCTTCTTGTTCCCTAATTTCAAAGAGGGCCCAAATTGTTGGGGCCAATATGTTGACTCTGTAAACTGCTTAGAAAGGGCTGTAAAGCACTATAAAGTGGTATATTAATCTAGGTGCTATTGCTATTGTTAGGATATGGTGTAAGCCTAACAAGTTGTCCAGGCAATATATGTGTTCTATAACTTTAAATGTATTCTGTAACTTTAAGATGTAATGCTGAGTAATTGTACTGATGAGTCATTGTAACTGACTGCTGACTGACTGCTGACTACAATTATCCTAATTGTACTGTTGAGTCATTGCACTGCTGACTCCACTTATCTTAAGTGGATAATTACTAGTGTAAACTGTATATAAGGAGTGAGCCGAGCTATAGTCATTGTTGCTTGACTTCTTGCTTGACTTGTTGGTTGGAACTGTTACTGTCGTGTGTGGAGAAGTGGATGGATCTGCTACCATCGTGATTTGTTACCAGTGTTGAATTGCTGTTTATTACCTACTGCTGTTTGTATGGTAAGAAGATATCTGTAACTGGACTGATTTGAATGGCTAAAGACTTGGATTGACTAAAAGACTATGCAATTGTTTTTCACCGCAAAGTAAAAGCTTTGTTAAACTAGTTTGTATGTATTGTATTCATTGCTCTCAGTACCGTTTCTCTGTGCACTTACTCTGCTGGTTGGTAACACAACAATATCCTTAACAGCTATTGCTATTGCTATTTTGATTCCTTTCTATGAATTCAGAGTGATTCAGAAGGCATAATTTTCTAATATAAATTAGGTGACCTCCACTTATTTATGCTCTCTCCCTTGACTTAGATGATATCTACAGGATTGTTGCTTGGTAAATGCCAGAAGAGAAAGATTGCCATCAGCATGGTCTGAGTGAGTTATAGATGCTTAGTCTAATTCTGTTGTGCGTTTCACTACTCACTACTAATTACTTTGAAAATCTACTATGACTCTTTTAAAAATCCGTATGACATTGCAAATCTTTTAGATCAATAAAGCTAAATATAAAGTACATTTGTAATATTATATCTTAGTATATCTTGTAATTCTCCACTTAGAAGTAGAAAATTTATCCCTGGTTACTCATTATTCCAATCTTGTACCATGTTTCTGAAAGACTTATGAAATATTGAAGATTTCTGGCTTTATTAAACTTGTATCAAAATTTTATATAAAGTTTTACATAAATATTGCACCTATGGAAATATTTATCAAATTTATTTGCTTCTTATCATGGAGTTCAAGGTGACTCTGAGAGGCTTACAACAAAATAAAACACAAACATTCAACAGTTATAAATAAAAAAAATCTGATTAAAATTTAAAAATTAATACAAACTAAAAAATAAGGATTTGGAAGAGAGACTGGGTCTTCTCTATTACTGTAGTGTACCAACCAACTCCAACCAACAGTTTCTCCTTCAGGTATATAATATAGCTTAACACTTGATTGGTATGGAGAATGGTAAGTAGTATGTTGTTTTTACAAGTCTGTAAATCATAATCCATTCAAGGTGGTTTTACCTAGGTATTTTCCAGACTAACTTTGAAATATAACCTTATTGTGAATTTCAGTAGGATCAATATGGTCCAATTATTTTCCAGTTTTATTTCTAGTTGAAATAACTGCTAAATCAATGACTAGTTCTTGTGACATTGAATTTAAATTTATATTATATAAATTTATGAGTATGTATATATAAGTAAATATTCTTCTTCAAAAATAATCTTCTACCAGGCACAGGGATGATGAAAATAATGTGAAATATTACAAACCTGTTTGGCTATATATCTTGACTTTTACACTTTAAGTGAAGATATGCAAAAACAGTACATTCTGTCCGACACTGATTCTGTGCTGTAAGGAAATTCTTGATTTAAACAATCAGTCAAGCAATGTCAGTATCTCCCTCAAGATATATTTACATCCCGTTTCAATGCTTTCATTATTCACTTTTGTTGCCTGTGTTCACCCTGTTTCATTTCCTATTTTTCAAAATGCATTTATCAAATTTCTACACTGTCTACCTCAGTGAATAAAGTTTAAGTGACACCGAGTGGTTTACAAACCAAAGCCAAAAAGGCATATAAAATAAAAATAGATGAAAACAAAGTTAAAAAAAGGAGTAAAGGTAAATTAAAAAGGTGGATGGAACATTCCCAAGCCATGAACCACCCCAGGGTTACTCTTAGATCCTCATGCCAGTTGACTGAGCCAGATCTTGATACTCTTCTGAAAGGCCAGCAAAGTGGGGATCTACCTCCCCAATTGGGGCAAAATTTTGCATATGATGTGGCCAGAGCAGATAAGGCTTTCTTTCTAGACTCTACCAATTGAAATATTTGGTTCACAATATATCCTCCCTGTCCGACCAGATGGGATGGGTTGATTTAATTAGGACAAGATAATTCCTCATGTGATCTGGTCCCATGACATGTAAAGACCTTGAAGTGGACCCAGAAACAAACTGCCTCCCAATACAGTTCATGTAGCAGAAGTGTTACATGTGCAACTTTAGGACCCACCCCCCAGGCTGCTCATGCCACTGAATTCTGCATCAGCTATAGTTGCTGGATACTCTTCAAGGATAGCCCAATGTAGAGTACATTTCAGTAGTCCATATGGGGAATGACCAGGGCAGAGTGAAAGAAGATTTTCTTGATCCAAGAAGAGACATAACTGGTACATAACACAAAGATGGGCAAACACCTCCTAGCCACAATTGCCATCTGCTCCTTGAGTTATGAGTCCAGGAGACTTCCAGATTACATATTGAATCCATCTGGGGCAGTGTAACTCCACCCAAGACCAAAATTATTAAACCCCAGATACTGAACAGATCCTAACCCACAGCCACTCATCTTACCCAAGTTCAGTTGAAGCCTGTTGTTCCCCATCCATTTCAGAAAAGTATGCTGAAATGTGAGGTCTCCCTTAAATGTGGGGACCCGGGCAATTATCCCATATATTTATTCATAATGCCATTGCTGATGAGTTCTAAGCAACACAAATTACATTTGAAAATCTCAGAATGACACCAACTTTTGAAATCCCCAAGTTGGATTGGAACAGAAAGACCCTCAACCCCATGATAAACAGAATAAATGTATCTACAAAACTCAGAAAAATAATTAAAACAATTGACACAGATTAGAAGGAAACCCAAAGGTTGCAGAATAAAAAGAAATAAGGAGGCACAGTAACACCCAAGTGCTGTACTGTTAGTCCTGAACCATATCATATATTAGTTCACTAGAAATGGTAAATGCTGGATTGATATTCCATAGATTTGCCTTAAAAAGCAAAAACAAAAAACAAACAAACAAACAAACAAACAAGCAAGCAAAAACAAACAAGAAATATCAAATTCTTGCTGAATGAATGTAAATGAGGGATTACAAAGATTTGAACAAAGCAAAGCAGAACCTCTTGTAAGAATTAGGAAAGGAAATCGATTATCGGAACAACATTAAATCTGAGCCTTGAAATACTGTACCAAAATGAAAAAATGTTTCTCTGAGAAAGAGACAAAGACTACAACAATCAGACTCTTTAGCTAAGAATATGGCTGCAATAGTAATTTTAAAGGCCCAAGCACAGAGCCTGACTTCTGAGATATTTGAAAGAATAATGGTGAAAAACACAGAAAGAAATGTGTGTGATTCTAACATGAAGCTTGTACATATCATTCTATTAATTGCTTCACTCATAAGCAAAGTATCCTAGATGTTCCTCAAAGCCTTGAGGCAGCCATAACTGTTTAAAGGTTTTAAAAAGTCTGTAGCTAGACTGTCCCAATGATTCTTGGGCATCTGTGAATTCAGAAGGTGGACATGTCTTCTGGGCTGCTTGCTCACTTGCTTGCTTGATGCTTGCTTTATTATTTTATTTCTAGACAAATAAATCCTTCACAAAACAAAGAGTTAAAAAAAGGTGACAAAGGTGTTTTGATTAAAATAAGTAATGGACACCAACATTGTTCAGAACAATTAGCTAATATATTTTTCTATAATCTTCAGAAGGGAGGTCAAAGTTGTTCACTTTGTGACTTGTTCCTTAAAAGTGTGGCAACTTTGTGAATTCTATTTATCATCTCCAATTGTAGTTTTAATTTCAGATCTTTAGCTTTATCTATGGAATTTGATATCCTTGTTTTTTAACTATAAGTGATGAACAATATTAAAATATTGTGTCTCATAATTCTATTTTTAATTGATGCCAATCCTTTATAATGATTACTCCTAAATAACTAAATACATCTCTGGATTAACATTGTTTTAACAATTCTACAAAAACTTGACAATTATTTTCTATTAAGAACTTGATATTTCCTAGATTTCTGCTAGTATTTCAATAATGTAACTGAATAAAATAGGTGAAAATGAGAATCCATGCATACTAATCAATTGAGATGTATTTTGTCTAGTTATCTTTCAAATGTTTCCATACTGCTGGTTAAATCCTACTGTGACTGTGAAACTCATGGACCTCACAATCTGTTACTGCCAGAGGATATTTTTTTTATCCACAGTGCTGGAAACCAAATGGAAGTGTCTTCTATTTGTACTAATTCCTATCCTGTGAAACAAAAGTTGCCTGCAATTTACTATTTGATAACTGCAGTTCACTCTATATATGGCTACACTTGAAGATGATTTCTAAGCTACAGCTAGTTCAGAATGCAGCTTCTTGCTTTCTGGTCTATGGAAGCTGTTATGGCAAAGTGCCACCTATTAGAGCCGTGGTGGCACAGTGGTTAGAGTACAGTACTGCTGATCACCAGCTGCCAGCAGTTTGGCAGTTTGGGTCTCATCAGGCTCAAGGTTGACTCAGCCTTCCATCCTTCCGAGGTCTGTAAAATGAGCATCCAGACTGTTGAGGGCAATATGCTGACTCTGTAATCTGTTTAAAGATGGCTGTGAAGCACTGTGAAATGGTATATAAGTCTAAGAGCTATTGCTATACTGGAGGAATCTGTACTGGTTACCCAATGGCTACCAGTCATTATGGGCATTATAGAAAAAGCCCAATATGTCTCAAGACCTCATCATATCTGGGATCACCTATTTCAAGTAAATTCTTCATATCTAATATGTATTGACTAAGAGGAATGTCATAAAGTTGGGTCTAGAGTGCTACCTTTGAAGCTCTTCTGAATTACAGAGCTATTTCTCTGGCTTATGGTTTGTCCCTGGCTGAGATTTAGTTTCATAGAAACCTGCAGATCTGTTTACTTAGATTACTACACTGTTTGATGTAAGTGGTTACATAAGCTGGCTCAGAAATTCCAGTATGAACAAGACTCCAGGACGTTACCACCTTCGAAACCTAAAGTTTTTATCAGCTTTTAAAAGCACATTGCTTGAGTTCTTCTGTAAATGGCACATGAAGTAGTTTTCTTCTCACATGAGATGCTACATCTACAGGAAATTTTTAAAAATTTAACTGGTACCGCTTGCGGTTTGTTCCTTTGTTGGGGCAGGGAGAGGAAAGGGATGAGATTAAAAAACATCATTCTATTAATGCAATTCAGAAAAAATGTGAAGATCAATACAATTCTCATGGGACTGGAGCTGACTGCTTGGATACTGTACCAGCAATATAATTAGGCTGGTATACATGAAGATAAGACATAACAGATGAAAATTTCATAGTGATAATAGGCTGGTAATAATACCAGTAAAACATTAATTCTCTCATGTCTAGAAGGCATATATGAATGGAAAGGCACCATGCTGTGTACCACCTGCTATTGCATATGTAAATAAGTTTGGAACTGCTGATAATATATAACAGGATACAGTATACTGTATATTTCTAGAAGATCTTATATATAGAACAGAAATATCGTAGGAATGCTTATTTCAAAAGGGATACTAAATATTACAGATATAAGAGAAAGGGTCTGTTTTGTTTTGGATAGATAATGGCAGTGGTGGGTTGCCCCCGGTTCGCATCGGTTCTACAGAACTGGTAGAAAAACTGGCAGGAGGCCCCGCTCAGTGATCTTGACATCATGAAAATGCTTCTGCGCATGCGCGCGCGGCCCTGTTGCGAACCGGTAGTAAAGGTAAGTAGAACCCACCCCTGGATAATGGCTCTGCTGAAGTACAATGTTGTAATTGTTGTATATAATGCTTTAATTGTTTTTTTTGTAGTTTCTTTATGATGGCTTGAAATAAAATAGCTTTATTGTATTTTCTGTTTTATTCTTTTCATGTTGAACACTGATACTTATTTTATATTAGTGTTGAATAATTTTGTGTATAGCTTTTTGAATTAGATGAAATAATAAAGCCGACTTCATCTTCTAATTTAAACGGGTAAGCCTTCCAGAAGATTGAAATGGTCAAACATATGGACTGAGGAATAGGGCCAAGCTAATTTTGATATGAAGAATATTACAGAATATCTTCATTTTTCTACTATAGAGTATTAGAAGACTGGCAATAAATGAGATTGTTTTAAATATTTCTTTAAATGAGGCAACAATGCACAGTGGAAGGAGAAGACAATAAATATGTAGTTCATATGCATGATAGTATGTGTGTGTGGATTTATTTGGCTTGAATAATCAACAAGAAAACCCTCCACATTGTAACCTTACATTGCAAGTCCCACTGAGTTTTTAGTCATTGTTAAATTCTCATTTTTCCCCCAAGCTGTTCCTCTTCCTCCCTGGGGCTTAATGGGTTCTGTTAAAACAACAGATGCAAGAAAAACTGCACTGCAGGACTTGGGATTTAGAATCTCTTGAAAAAACTGACAGGTGCTTCTTTTTGAAAGGATGAAAAATGACAGACTTGGAAACAAAAGCATGCATATTTCTTTTCAATCAGATCTTTCTGTACTAACTAGCATGACATATTCAAAGTGCTTCACAACAAATGAAGCACTTCCAAATGATTAATTAATCATGGAATTAATCAATACTTAAAATCAAATATAAACATTACAGGATGCATAGCGGAACTAAAGGCTAAAATAGGACCATTTCCTCTCTTTATTCTATCCTTATCCAAGATATAGTTTTAATGTTCTAGTGCAGGGGTGTCAAACTCATGGCCCACAGCCCGGATGTGGCATGCACTAGCCACGTCCACCCCGGTTTAGCGAAGGGGAAAAAAGTCGTAATATGTCAGGTGATGATGTGTCATCACGAGTTTGATACTCATGCTCTAGTACAATCCACCTTCAGCCTGATGTAAGTGTGTAGGATATTAAGTGGCAGAAAGAGGAACATTATATTTCAGAAGAAGAATCAGAATTATTCCCATTTTGGCTCTGACTCCACCTGTATCAAGCTTCAGTTCTTTCTGTAGTCCCAGCAGATATCTTTGAAGATATTTCATCTTTAAATGAAATGTTTGTCTGTCTGTCTGTTTATGTCTATCTTTCTATCATCTATCTATCTATCTATCTATCTATCTATCTATCTATCTATCTATCTATCATCTATCTATCTATCATCTATCTATCTATCTATCTATCTATCTATCTATCTATCATATATTTTGATGAAGGAGATAAAGCAGAATGACCCGTGAAGAGGGACCTAAATGGTTTTCCCAGGTAAGGAGGCTTGAGATCTTGGAGTGACAATAGAAAATATATCTTAAATGTCAAAGAAATATAAATTATTAATAAAATGATTGTCTTAATTATTGTAGGATTCTGATAGATTGCTATAATAAGAGAATATTCTTGAGATGTCTATGTCCTCAAGCTTTCATAGCTTTCAGATGAACAGCTGGTATTTTAATTTAAGATGGAAACTTGCCTATCAACCAGCCAAGGTAATGTAATGAAGGTATCACTTGCTCTCAATAATTATATCTATGAAATAAGTCCTTCATCAGGATACTACGTCATTTGCAGGCTCAGACAATTGTTCAAGTAGAGCACATTGAATCAAATCCTTAAGTAATTAACATACATGCCATCACAGCCATATCATTTTTATAGAGGTTCATCTACACCTTCATTCGGGCAAAAAAAATATTCCTGTGTGAATATCCAAGAACAAGTCACCCAAGATGAATAACTGACTGCAACCCACAAAGGTAGGCTGCATCATGCTTCCAAATTGTTGTACTGACTAAAATATTTATCTCATGTCTGAATGATACTAAGTCTGATTCTAGAAACTTGTTCCTCCCAACATCACCTTTTTGAACTGCTTATCTCGAGTCATCCATGCAACAGGGCTTCTAGGCTTAAACCTAATTTCGGTGTAACATGCTCGTTTCCTTTAGGTAGTGACCAGTCTTCAAAAACAACAAAAAAGCAGCTTACAGAATAGGTTTGGCCACACTACTAAGGAGTAGAATGAATGAAATGAGAATAAAATCTAAATGGTACTTATTTAGCAAAAAAATACTTCTTGCATAAAGAGAAAACTGCAAGCCAGATTTGTCTAGGCATTATTTTTGTAGTCCACATAAATATTGATAGTCCATTTTATTTTAACTTGTAACATTTGTGAAGTGTCTGCATGTGTTTGGACTATAAATTAAGCCTTGTGAGGAATGCCTGCTTCGATTTCTGCAAATGCAGGAATCACAAAAGATACCATCTACTGAAAACAGTTCACAGGCATGATACAGCTAGTCTTTTCCAATCTGTGTGATTTTGTTGAAACAGACGATTTTTCTAAGACTATATTATATATCATTACAGGACAAGGGTGATTATTAAAGCAGAGCTCTGGAATGAGACTTGTGGAATAATAAATCACAAAGTAGAAAAGGAAAGAAATTCATTTTATATACCTGGCAATTATGATCGTATTTTATCATCATAAATTGTGAATGCTAGATTTCATCTATAAACTATATTACTGTGTTTTTTCCTTTACAGGTATGTATGGTTTTTATAATATATTTAAAATATTTTCACTTGGAGAAGCTGCATTGAGAAATATCTATAAAATAATATCTAATGAATTCATAATGTATTTTTTAAAATCCATTTAAAACCATTATCATTACCCTAACTTTGCATTAAAAACCCAATAAAAGAATTTCCTGAATTCTGCTGGGTTCTTTTCATCCTTTTGATTGATAATAATTTGTTAATTTTATTAAAGTCTACATTGCAAAACATTTTATTGAATCTAATCCATCTTTATGAAATGTTTTAAAAACAGGTCTATCATGGAATGCAGTTCTTATGATGAGAGAAGTAAGTAAGAATGACAGAATTGCTTGGAACTTGCCTTTGGAAATGTTTCAGAAACTACTATTTGTTCAAAATATAGTGGCCAGATTCCTAGTAGGATAACCCGCCATTATAAAATAAGACCCATTTTAAAGTGGTTGCATTGGCTGTAAATAGGTTTATGGGTCTAGTTCAAAGTGCTGCTCAAAATCTTTAATGTGTGGTAATTATTTGAACATCAAATACATAATTCCTAACAGCAAAAAAGTGCTCTTAATGTTGTATGTATCTGTACATGCACATACACATCCTGCCATGACCACATATATAGAAACACACACATATACCTACTTGCATGGTTCTGGAACTTCCTTTAAAGCAGGGGTGTCAAACTCAAGGCTCAGGGGCAGGATTCAGCCACAGGGTGCTTAGATCTGGCTTGTGAGGCCACCCTGAAAACAGTGAAGGACCTGCCTGCAGTGCCTCTGCCAGTGAAAATGGAGCTTGGGAGGGCCATGAGTGGCCCTCCCAGACTCAATTTTCGGCCACGACAGTCTCCTGTAGCCCTCTGCCAGTAAAAATGGAGCTCGGGGGCTGCACAGCCCCCCCGGGCTCTGTTTTTACTAGCAGGGGCTGCAGGAGGCTGTCATGGCCAAAAATGGAGCTCGGGAGCCTGTTTTTGCTGGCAGAGTGTTCAGGCCATCACATGCACCATCCCTGACACGAGTGATGTCAAGTTGGCCATGTCCCCTGCCCCCCCCCAGGTCAAATACAACCCTGATGTGGCCCTCAATGAAATCGAATTTGACACCCCTGCTTTAAAGCAACAAGGAAAGTAAAAGTAAAAGTGGTTAAGTAAAAATAGATTGCAAAACAACCTTGGATATGTTTTAGAAGTAAGCTAGTGCTGATTTGTTTGAGGCTTGTTAGCTCTATGTAAGCTTGTAAAGTGATAATTGATAATGACAGACAGTACTTAAGTAACTGCATTGTATAACATTCAGTTCCATTTCTTTACATCAGTTACATTTTTAAAATTTCTCTGCAGTTGATGAATCTAAGAACTATCATATTCAGTGATAATTTATTTGACTCCCATTATTGCATCTCATAAAATGTAAATGGCATTTTCAAAATATGAAACTTTCATGTCAGATGGCTCAGATACTAGTGCCCTTGATATATAAACCTAGTGTCCTTAATACACGAGTGATGTTCAGTATGTCTAAACATCTTTGCAACTTGTTTAATATGACGAGTACTTCAAGAAATTGTTAGCAAGAAAAGGGTGTTAAAAAGTTGTTAACTATTCTATGTTAAGTCAAAAATGTATGAAAGAGTATGAAAAGAGTTTATATTTTTATACTGTGTAACAATGCACTGAATCAAACTCTATTTTATTAGTTTGATTAGGTTAGTTTGATTAGTTTAAAACATCAAAATTACTAGTTTCTCCCAAATTTTATCCAGATTAATAGTCTCTTTCTCTCTCTCTCTCTCTCTTTCTCTGAAATAAGATTATCTTATTATAATTTCTAGTTATTGGTATATATAGAGAGAGACTACTTCTGCTTGTACAATTCTGTATGAATGGTACATCAATCCTTGTTTACAGACCATCTTGTTTCCTGGCTGAAGAGAGGAACTTTCTTTACTTTCATGGACTTTAATTCATTTAGATTTGTTTGGAGTTGAGTTGAATGGGCCAAGAATGTGCTTGGCTCATTAGGAGCCCTGTTTCATTTTGGCATTCATATGGGGCTGAGATAAATGTAGATTTTAGTTGCTTCCTTCTTTTTGTCCTTGTTCTTTTCTATAAAAATAATGTACTTGTGTCTTACTAAAGTCATTAGCACTGTTTTGTCGCCACTACTGTGAATTGTTCCTCTACGTTGTACTAAATGTTGTTTGTAACAATCATTTCGTAAAGCCTGTATGTTGACTATGGCAACATTAAAGAAGGTTGATAGAGCTATGCTGCAACATGGGTGAATGGCCGAGGGAAGAGACACTGAATAAACATCACCCCTCCTCTTCTAGTCACAATGCTTCCAAATCTCATGCATTCACAAGCTGAATCCAGCCAAACCCCACAGCTGTCATGCATTTTCAACAGATTCCACAGGGCCTAAATGAGGTTTGAAGACATTCCTTTGCTCTTACATATTAGTTAGGAGGAATTACCGTAACATCTGATATTGTGGATGTGGGAAGTTTGCCATTCCGACCTTGCCCAAAGCAATCCGGAACTGGGGTTCCAAAGATTTATGATCTCAGATGGCCTCCAGAGGTCACAGAGGGCTTTTTCTTAGTAGTGCTTCAGCAATAACCGATTCATTTGGAAAACCAGTGTGTTTTGTATATGATAAAATAATCTATAGACATATACTTTTGTTGTACTCTGGATCAGTGTTGTAGGAAGGGCATATTCACCAGAATAATTTCCAGCCACTAGCAATATGCTGATAGACTGCAGCCAATAATCAGGGTACAAGCAAAATAATCAGGATGTTAACAATGTGTATGATTGCATGATTGTTGACAAAACCTTCCACACTTTTCACAGTCTCCTGATGAGATTGACATGGACTGCCTAACCTGCCTCTGTCTCATGCAGAAATACCAGAAGGCATGCTGTGTCAGAATGAAGAGTTTATTTTTTTCATGGTTGGTAATTGTGTGATATGGAAAACATTTTAGAATTGCTTGCTTTTTTTGGGGAGAAATGCTAGATAGGAAACCAAGTGCAGAGGGGAGTTTCAAGGTGACCAAAAAAGCTCAGGTTATACATGTATGTGTGTATTTTGGGAAAAATAAGATAGGTAACTAAATAAATACAGAGCCAGATAGATTTTTATGCCAAAACCAGATTTCCCTATGTTTATCCTCTGCCAAAAATATTGTAAAGTACTTCTTTCTGGTCTTTTGTTCTATTATACTGATTCCTCCCACTTATCTCACTGATGGTTGTTCATTTCCCATCAGAAGAAAAAAAATTCTAGGTCCACATGGACAATTCTACAATATGGTAGGATGTGCTAAGAAAGAGGCGATAATAAACAGCTAGTATGGTACACAGGTCAAGGTTCCCAAGTTCAAGTGAAGGCCCAGCCATAGAACCTCAGTTGATAGTTGGGACTTGTCATTCTTTTTTTCAACCCAATGTATCCTACATTACTGTTGTGGAAGAAATCCATCCCCCCCCCCCAAACAATGCTATAGACTGCTGTGAGCTTTGAGTAGAATCTTCAAAATTAACAATAAAGTTGCACGAAACATAAGCCCCAGTATATGTTCCTAAAATATTAATAGTTGAAGTAAAGGGATAATAGGTTTTGAGATGCTTTTGTTTACATTTATAGACTACAAAGGAACTATAACTATAAATAGAGTAACAAAAGTGAACTTCATATTATTTCCCAAATATTGCTGTCTGAATAAGATGAGACGCAGACTCTAAGAGATTTTATGTCCTAAATGACAAACTGAGTGAGCCCTCCTGAGATTCAGTTGCATGGTTCCAATAAGTCTAGCTATTTCTAGCTCAATATTTAGATCACTTAACTGTTTCCTTTGTGATTAATCTGATAACAAGGAGGAATTATTTTTGTTCACAGGAACACATGCTAAATACATTATATTAAAAGCGGTCACTTCAGAGCTGTTATCTAAGATGTTCCGAGAAGCAAACAATTAATTAACTAAGCAGATATAATTTCTTCTTAAAGACAAATAAAAAAATGAGTGGCAATAAGTGAAAAAGATGAGCCTAACTTATTGACTTACTATATAAGATGAACTTAACAGGTGGGATGGTATAGAAATTCTTGGATTTAAATGCTTGCCATACTCTGAATGATCCATATCATGTACTACAAAATGTAATGTTCCCTTATGGCCACAATCAGGCTGCAGGACAACCAGTCTATGAACAAGAGTCCAGACTGCTAGATCTCTGTAATCTTGATTTTTCTGTAATGTAACTGTAGCTGTTGTTCTCTATAAAAGAGAGATAAAGATGAAAATTTTTAGTCCTTTTGGTGACAATGAGGTTCATTGTATCATCTACATATTAACTATGTTTACTTGAAATATTTGATGGATGACATTTATTTTAGTTAGGTGTCAGACCATGAGGTTGATAGCAATTAATAACTGCAAAGTAATAATATAATCTTGTTTAACTTTTCTTTCTGGAGGAGTATTGCTGGTTTACTATTGGTTTATTAGTGACTCTTCAATAAGGAAGTCTGCAGGCAGCAATATTCAGTTTGTGTAAATTCTTGGTCATTAAAATGCCTGGTTTTTTAAATTGCAATACTGCTTGGAGGTGAACTTTGAAGCATCACACTTTCTTCTTCTGAATCTGCAATTAAGAGAGTGAGACTGTATGTGCAGAGGATCTGATCAGAAATAAAGATTCTTCACCCTCACTACTAGAACAATATGATAAAGATGCTTACTCTATGGCTGTCTATTTGGAACGGAGTATGCAGTTCCTCAGGAACATGATTAAAAATCTAAACACAAGAGGCAAAGTTCCTTTGGCAATGGTGATTCACAAATTATACAGTATCTCTGCAGAGGACCTCTCCTTCACAAAAACAATGCAAGCATCTTCCATGACAACTGAAACTTAAGAATTCTTCCCTTCAGTTTTTCCCTTGGAGAGATTAAAGTTTCTAAAGCAACTTATCATGCTCCATTTCCTAGCACATGTACATGTAAAAACAATATGGCCTATATGTATCTATGCCAAGAGACATAACCTCAGAATGACTGAAAGAAAATTTGGAAAAAGGTAAGCCTAATGATTTTGGAAAGCCATCATCTTCATAGCAAGAAACTCATCCAAAATACAGAC